CCACAGACCCGAAGTTTCCACCAGAATTCCACAATGTGTCAAGACTGTCCTTGGCCGGTAGAGCAACTGTGCTGGCCACAGCAGTGGTTCCACTGCTTTGCATCAAAACGATGCTTACCTCTAGGAAGGCGGATGGCCGCACCTCAACAGCAGGCTACAAATGTGTTCTGGAAAAGCAGGAAAGGTTATCTGCCCTCATTAGGACAATTAAAAGCCCCTTAGCACTATGCAAACAGACCATTCAACAGGTATAATGCAAAGACAAACATGTTCTGATAACAGAAAAATGTCCCAGAATTGAAAATTTTAGAAACCATGTATGCAGTCAGCAACTTCAACCTTGAAGCCAATTCACTCTTCAAAAATTACTTTTTCTCTTCAGTATTGAAAAAACTAAAGAGGGACTTCCTCGCTGGAGGAAGACTTGGAAAAACCCCAGACCTAAACGAAAAGCAGTCATCTTGGCCAACAGCTTTCTGGTTTCCCCTGGCTATTATTAAGGATCCTTCTGTTTGACTAAGAATTTCTCCACCTCTCACAAACCATTTTTTTTCTTTCTGTGTCCAGAAAAAATCTGAAAACCATGTGTTTATAATGAGCCTGTTGCTATGCACATCATTAAAACACATTACAAAAATCTTTCCTTTGAGTCAGGAGGAGGACAGGATGGGGGAAGATGAACTCCTAGCCAGAGTCCCTTTGCTGAGCAGATAAGCTGGCAAAAAGGGAGATGAGAAACAAAGCAAAACGGAAAAAAATATGGTGGTCCCATCCCTTGAGTCATTTTAACCAAAGGAGGAAAACTAACATTTTTAAAGCCCCAAGGTAATGTATCTTACAGTTTGGAACAGGGCTAACAAACTCTCTTCCTAATCTCTTTAATTCCTATGGTTTCATGACTCATCTTCCATCTGTCTATTAGTGTGTCCTTTTCACCAGCTTTTTCACACTTCTGTAAGACTATCAGGAGTTTTGTTTTGTTTTGTTTTTCCCCTTTTATGTGTACTTCTGTGTGTATTCTCCTTTTGATATCTTTGGTCTTCTATTCAGTTACCACCTAAACGTAGGTCCTGAACTGTCCATGTCATCCCCTACTCCCCATAGTATCTTGGCCTTTTTCCCTCACTTACGAAGAGATTTGTTCTGCAAAAGTCATATCCTGGAAACGAAATGAGACAAAGCATATCAAAATTAATGTCAAAAAACAAAGATTCTCAATTTTCTAACTTAAAAAACCTGGACTTAATAATCTTAAGTCAATCACCTTCTTAAACAGTTTGCAATCAACATTCTTCTCCAATTTTTGTTGCATTGTTCCAAATACTGTGTTAACCTGCAAGTTTTCAAGGGTAGACTGTCTGAAGATGAGAAATGAAACATACGTCTTTTAAATATATCTTTCTTTCACCCCTGTGTGTCTTTATATGGGTTCACACACATGCATGCACACACGCGTGTGTGCACACGCACACACATGCACACACACAGAGTATTAATTCCAAGCTCTTTGTCCTTAATCAGAAAAGAAATGGCTGGTCCCGACTAATGCTATAGAACCTGTTTTACTCTCAAAGAGAAGTAGCCAAACCATTGCAAACGTGTTGGGTGAAAACAACTGTGGTTGGCTCCAGACAAAGGCTTATTTTTTAAGCACAGATGGTTGAATGGTTGCCTCCTCCAAAGGGTTGCCCACAATGAAAGACAGATTTCTATTTCTAATCTATGCAAACATCTTACTCTGCGGGGCATCACAAAGACTAACTGTTCTGTGTCAGATGCTGCGGATCCCAGGTGCTCTCAGAGAAGCCAAAGCCCACCTCCACCTGAGATGCCTGGTAACTCAGGTAACAGGGGCTGACTGGGGAGTGAGCCACTAACCAGCTCCTCATGAATGCTGCCAGGGCCTTCTGTCAAACATTCCTCTGGAATCCCTCCCCCCCCCCCCCCACTGCTTCTCTTTGGCTGCTCTGCCTGGAAGACAGTTTCAATATTCAGTTGAGACCCCAGATGCTTCTAAAACCTCCCAGGAAGGCTCAGATTCCCAAGGGCTCCTTATGACAATTGGTAGCACTCTTCACCTTGAATTCAGCTCTTCTATTCATCTCTAACATCAAACCCAGAAATCTTGAGCACTTAAAACTGTTATTCTGTTCAAACCAGTCTCCTTTACCCTCTAGTCTATATGCCTAAAACCCAGGTGAGTCTCAGTGGATCACACCTGGGTCATTGTTGGTGTCCCTCAACCTTCCCAAGTATATGTATTCCTCTTTTCTTTCTTTTTTTTCCCAGCCATGCCGTGTGGCTTATAGAATTTTAGTTCCCCAACCAGGGATTGAACCCAGATCCCCCGCAGTGAGAGGGCTGAGTCCTAACCCCTGGACCACCAGGGAATTCCCTCCTTTTTTCTTTTTGTTCTCCCTCTATCAATGTTCCTTTCTTTATTTACACTTTTCTCTATTATTTCTCCACCTCCCTTGCTCTGACCCCGCCGCGCCCCGCCCCCCACCCCCCCCGCCCCCCCCCGGGGCACATTCCAGTTTTAGGGCCCTTGGGACAACAAAAATTCCTGCAATGCTGGGGGGGAGGGGGAGGACCAAAAAAAACTCTTCATGCAAACCAGCTCCTAATTTTAAACATCCTTTCCCATAAAGAGAAGGTTATACCTGAAATCTACATAGGTTAGTTCCAATGTTAAGTCTAAAAAATGTCCTTCAAAGTTTTGAATTATTTTCTGTTAGTTTTTCTGATCAAACAACAGAGTTTGCTTCAAAATCCTGTGTTGAAAAACCCTTCTTTCCTTCCTTATCAAACTTCTTAAATGAACCAACCTAACTGAGCAAAAAGAAATTCAAAAGTTCCTACTCTATACCTCAGTTTCTGAGATTTAAATACTTTTTAATTTCAGCTTATAAATGCAAATACTGACAACCAAATAATGCAGCATTAAGTTTACTTATCTGGAAAATCTAAAACTGTAAAGAGCTTTAGAGGTTAACTACCTTATTGATTCCCAAGTCTGAATGAACATCAGAGCTACCTGAGGAATATTGTTTATTTTAAACAACACATCCTCGTGAACCCCAGTCTGAGATATTCCAGTTCAGACTTCTGGTGTGGCCCTAGAATCCATATTTATAATAAATGCTTCGGGTAATTATGATCTAGCAGGCCCTGGTCTGTTTGAGAACCACTGATGATTCCAACATTCTTCCCAATATGGCGGTCTCCTCTACAAGACACTACATGGGCTATCGCTCTGTGCTACAGCATTTTCAGAGACTGGGGCTCTTGCCCTTTTATAAGTCTGCTTACTCCACTTTTACATGGCTTTATTATTAGAAAGTCTGTTCTTATGTCGAGCCAGATAACCAAAGTCTTTCAACTCCTTGAACTTCATTATTACCGGCCCTAATTTTGTGCTCTGGAGCTGACACAGAATTCCCTCCCCATGAGAGTCCAAAGGCAGCTACTGTACCCTTGCAAGTCTTCATTTTTCTAAGCTTAAACAAGCTTTTTTTTCTTTAACTTCATAAAGCACAATTTCTGAGTCCCTCACCATTTCAACTGCTCTTCCTGAACAGACCTTACAGAATATATCTGTCTAGAGGAACACCACTTCATTTTTTTTTTTCTTACGGGCTGTACTTTTCCCAATATGCATTAATTTATAGTCCATGTTTCATCCTTGGCACTCATTCTCTTGCATTTAATGGTCCAAGAGCCATGAATCAGCAAGTATTTCTTATTTACCCTAATGCTGTGTTCCTAACACTGTGTAAAGTACTCAAGGATTCAAAAGCTGGAGGAAATCATCTTGCTTTGATTTGACTTGAGGAGATTTGAGGAGATAATTTATTGGACAGAAAGGACTTAAATAAATGAAATCACTTGAAAACAGTGCACGATGGTACACAATCAAGTGCTTCAAATGAATGACACCTGAAAGACTAACATAGGTTTCCTGGGTCAGACTGTCGGCTCTCTCATGGCCTGTGTTTATAGAAATACCACCTATTTAACAATGATTTGGGTTAAAAAAAGAAGAAGATGGATACTATCACCTTAAAATGTAAATAAAAATTTCAACTGCATCCTTATTTCAGAAATTTAAAATCTAAGAAATGACACATGCAATAATCAAGTAGAATACTGTTCCTTCTACCTGGGATGCCGCTGACATTGCTTCCCAAGCACTCTGAATGCCATGTTCCAAGTAAAAGGCTTAAAGTAGAGGGTTTATGCGATTCCCTTCAGTACCGGCAATAACAGAATGATAAGGAGACACTCGCCCCACCTGCATATTTTAACGAACACCAACAAAAACGCACTCGTTTCATTCACAGAATCACAGACTATCAGAACGTTTGGGACTCATTCAAATCCCTCACTTTACAGATGAGGGAAAAATATCACTTCAAAGATGGCACGTGGTTTCTCTCCCAGGTAAAGCAGCCAATGAGCAGGAGGGCGGGGTTAATCCCCAGATCGCTCTGCCCTTGGCTTCCTGCCTCCTCGTATTCAACCCACGAAACCAAAACTCTTGCCCTCTCAGCGCTTTCCTCAACTCTACTCCCATCTTCAGTTACCTTCTCAATCCTCAAATCCAGAATCTGATGATGCATTTTGTTTGGGGACATTTTGAGGGAAGGACTGGACCAAACAGTTTTAGGTGGTTAATTTTTCATGAAATCCTAGCATATTGATTTTACCCACAGTCTATGCTGCTAGACACAAAATTCTACGTGCTTCAGGATCACCGCTACCTCACTAGCAGTACAGGGAGCCGCTGGGGTTAGCTACATGGATTCAAACAAAAATTCTAAAGCTGCAAAGCAACTGGTAAACAATTCCCAACTACGCCACCCTCTTCCCCCCACCACACACACACACACACACACACACACACACACACCCCTAAATCAACCAGCTCATCTACTTCATCTGAAGCCTCACAGTTAATCCACATCCTACATGGAACACGGAGGAAAAAATGTACCTACCTTGTGGCCTCTTGCTGAAGCCACGACACATTTGGCACATAAAACATGACTCCAAAGAAAAGCAGAGGCTCATTAGCAAATTTGTCCAGATGTTTCTTCAGAGGTTTCTCCAGCTCCACCCATCGTGCTTGCTGGCTCTTGCTGAGAAACCAAAGGCCAAAGTAGTGCGTCTAGATAAAAGGATAAAACAGCGTCAGTTCATGCTTACAAGGGGCATCCTGAGACCACACAGGAAATAAGACTCCAGCACCTTCCCTCCCCTTTGGTGCCTCAGCCCGTACACAAGGATCCGGCTTTTACTTTTGAACTTTGGGACACATGAAAAGAAACCACAGGTACCCAGTACTGTAATCTACCCTGAGTCTCCAGATGCAGTATTCCTACCCATTGTTGCTGTTTGTACATGTGGGTACTGATGCACCTATGCTAGGTAAGCGGGGGTGATCCAGAGTGGGGACAGTGTGGACTTATTCTAAGATCTCAAGGCTGACTTCCCCGTGCCAGTGCTAGCTAGAGCACTTCCCTGTGCTCTGCGCAGGAGCAGAGGCAAACACAGCTCTCTCACCTGCTACAAAGTAACTTACAGTTCAACTCCAAAGATGAAACCTTCTGCCAACGTTAAGCTTCAGCAGTGTAGATATTTTCATACAGTACCGGATTGGAACAGAAAATTGATTCACTGTTTAAGCTTTAATGAAGTACTTTTAAAAAACATCGGCCTCGACCACTTCATTATACATGAACTGCAGGGAACCTCTCCCCCGCATTAAGCAGGGAGAGCGGAAGTAGCCCCTCTTCACAGCTGCCACAGGAGCCCCTGGTGGCTGTTCTTGGCAGATGATGGGGGGATCTGAGAGATGAGAGTGAGATTTTCACCCTTAGATTTGAAGCCTCAACCAGGTTAGTTTTGAACAACGTGCTAAATGATTAAAACAGGTACTTTTATGCATCCAATCCTGTCTTTACATTAATTCATGCTAGGATTTCAGGATTAGCACAACAGTCGCTAAAAAACAGACCACTGCTTTTGAAGCATTCTTTTATATTTCAATTATAGCCTAGAATGGTTTACAGCACACCTGGAAAGCCACCTTCAAAGGAATCATTTCATTACAATGTTTAATTTCCAAAGGCATTTTTGCGCCGACCTTCCCACTCCAGCCGGCTGCCACCTCAACAGTACTATAGATCAATCCCCGTCACCACCCCACCAAAATCTGTAATCAAGTTTTGACTCTGACTTTACCAGAAAACCAGACACATCCTTCCCTACATAAAGCTGCAGACCCAAAATACTCTAAAGGATATTTTTAAACGGGTGTACTTTCAGCTGGGACCATTTCCTCCATGATTTTCCGAAGGGCAAGTCCATACCAGAAATCTATGCATTTCTTGAGCAACAAAATGCCAATGAACAGAGCCGAGGTTATATTTCTATCAACTTAGACCAACTTGCTTGAGTGAATTCTGACCCTATTGTTCATTTCCCAGCTCCAGTGAGCCCACTAGCTGTTCCAATAGGACTGACGACGTAGGGGTAATGAAATGTGGCTGAACAGAAAGAAAATAGGCTTTGAAGTCAGTTCATCTCCCAGCTTTTACACTCTCTGTCTTGATAACTTTATACAAGTGATGGAGCCTCCGAGGGTCTCAGAGCTTTCTCATCTGTAAAATGGGGATGGTGATTACAACCATCACCCACAGGCTGTTAGGGGTGTAAATGAGATAATGCCTGTCCACGTGTGCGTGGCCCACATTAAGTAACTACTTCATAAATGGTGACTTCGGTTGCTGCTCCTATTATCACCATGATCATCCTCAGTAAGTGAAGGCAGGCAAGCCTCAAGAATCTTTGTCATCAGTGCTATTGGCATCTCTATCGATCACAGAATCAGAAAACAGAAGTCAAAAGACACAGACGTAGAGAATGGTCTTGAGGACACGGGGAGGGGGAAGGGTAAGCTGGGACGAAGTGAGAGAGTGGCATGGACATATATTCACTACCAAATGTAAAATAGATAGCTAGTGGGAAGCAGCCGCATAGCACAGGGAGATCAGCTCGGTGCTTTGTGACCACCTAGAGGGGTGGGATAGGGAGGGTGGGAGGGAGACGCAAGAGGGAGGGGATATGGGGATATATGTATACATACAGCTGATTCACTTTGTTATACAGCAGAAACTAACAACACACTGTAAAGCAATTATACTCCAATAAAGATGTTAAAAAAAGAAAACAGAAGTTATCTAAAGATAAAGGAGAAAAAGCAAGCAAAAGCAGAAGCTGGAAGGCCTATAAATAACATAAAAATCTAAAAGGTATAAGAAAAAAAAAAATCACAAAGCAGTGCCTCCCCGAAGATTTTCTTTAGAGTCTCATTATAGGTGTTTATGGGACACTGGAATATCACTCTGATGCTTTCCTAGGAGATCTATCATGTGGGCTTAGGCTAACCTTAAAATGAGGCAATCTGGGTACTTAATAAACCATCTGAAAAGGGTCCAAGGCAGTCCTGCATTATACTGAATTCCTTCATGGAGCACAGCGCCATATGAGGGTATTCCACCATATTGTAGATGGCTAGTAGTGAGTTTGCATATGATAAATGAGGTAATGTGTGTAAACAGTGACAGGCTATGTGATAATTATTTTAGTTGTAAAAGAGCCCTTTTATAAGCATAGGTGGAGAAAGGGAGGGCAAACTTTGCAATTGCTTAACAAGCCAACCATGATTTATTATCTTTCACTAAAAGGAGTCTTCACATTTGGAGGTATGATTTTATGGTCCATACTTCATTCAAATTGTAACATTCACTCAAATTAGTAACTTTCAAACTATAAAGGGTCCACAGTAACTGCATAAACATTCTACAATTGATTTTGAAAAAAAAAAAAAAAAAAGATTTAACTTTTACTTCTATGCTTTGAAGGCCGGTATTTTAAATTTCCTTTTCTCATTCCCACCCAATCATTAAACCAGACCTGATCTCCCCACTTCAAAAAAAAAAAAAAAAGAAGCAATTTCCCTCATGGCGCAGTGGTTAAGAATCCGCCTGCCAATTCAGGGGACACGGGTTCGAACCCTGGTCCGGGAAGATCCCACGTGCCACGGAGCAACTAAGCCCATGCACCACAACTACTGAGCCTGTGCTCTAAAGCCCGCAAGCCACAGCTACTGAGCCTGCGTGCCACAACTACTGAAGCCCGCATGCCTAGAGCCCGTGCTCCGGAACAAGAGAAGCCACCGCAATGAGAAGCCCACGCACCGCAATGAAGAGAAGCCCCCGCTCACCGCAACTAGAGAAAGCCCGCGCACAGCAACGAAGACCCAACGCAGACAAAAATAAATAAATTAAATAAAAAAAAACACCCTGAAAAAGAATATTCCATGGAGTACACATATACATACATGCATGCACAAAGATACATTCATGCACACGTGCACACACAGAAAAGGAAGATGATGAGGTACAAAAGAAATCATTGTATGATAATAGTCTTGAGCCATAATTAACAGTACAGAATTCCAAATAACAAGGTAAACCACTTCCAATGCCAAAACCTAATCCATGGCGTAAGCCATTTTTGTTGCTGCAATACAGTCTTTTCCAGAGGACACAGGGTGTTTCTGGGTGACTCACCATGCATTTATCCAATGAAACAATTATTTAACTATTCAAGAAATGGGGTTCCAATGCAGAGGCAGGTAATCTGGAGGACACAGTTTCTACATACTAGGGCCAGAACGACCTAGTTTTAGAAGTGCTGTATTGAGTTATTTAGGAGGAAGGAAAGTTCATTTATGAGATCCCCATCCGCACACTGTTTTGTGAAGCTCTGCCCCAAGTAACCTTCTCCATTCCCCCTCCTCCCCACCCCCCGTTCTTCCCCTAGCCACATCCCTGCTCTGGAGTATTCAATGGAGGAGAAAGACCCTGTCTCAAAGTTCTTACCCTGTTCTGTTCAAGTTCACAAGGCAACATATTTATTCAGCCATGTCTACAAAATGCATCACAGGAAATGGAATCAGAACCTAACCACTCACTTAAACTAACATGTGCACCAATCAACTTCCTGTGTATCAGCCAAGGGGCCATTACTCCCATCAAGCCCAGCTGAGACCACACCAGGCCTGCTCATAAGCGACTTGCCAATTTCAACTCCAGCTGAATTCTGAAAGCTGAGCTTCACTGCTAAACACTGCCAGATGGTTGAAGGAAATGTGGTGGATTCCAAACAGAAATGGTAGAAATGTCTACCTCCTCCATGACCAAAAGGATTCCACAATACTGCCCAAGAAAATGCCTGAGACACTTGTTTGGTTTATCTCCAAAGCACCAAACATAAACCAGGTCCATCTAATCCTCAGGATACCTCTGTGTGAGCTCTAAATCCCATTTTATTTCTCTAGTTTTCTTTAGAAAACAGCTCTGGTGCCATCAATTCTGCAATGAGTTCATTGCAATAAGAAAAGACAGGGCTTCCCTGGTGGTGCAGCTTCCCTCTGCCTGCCAATGCAGAGGACACGGGTTCGAGCCCTGCTCCGGGAAGATCCCACATGCCGCAGAGCAACTAAGCCCGTGCGCCACAACTACTGAGCCCGCGCTCCAGAGCCCGCGAGCCACAACTACTGAAGCCCGCGCTTAGAGCCCGCGAGCCACAACTACTGGAGCCCGCGAGCCACAACTACTGAAGCCCGCGCTTAGAGCCCATGCTCCACAACAGGAGAAGCCCCCGCTTGCTGCAACCAGAGAAAGCCCGCGCGCAGCAACAAAGACCCAACTCAGCCCAAAATAAATAAATAAATAAATTTATTTTAAAAAGAAAAGAAAAGACAGAAGAACCGGTTCCCAGGGAAAGGAATCACATCTCTGAATCAATTGCTAAAAATGCAAAACTGCATTACTAAAAAAATAATGTAAGAAGAGCCACATAAATTGTCATTTTCATATGAGTACCTCCCTGGTTTATTTGGTTTGGAGTTTTGCATTTTAACAGGGAAGGATAAATGTATGTGAGCCCTCAAAAATAGGCTAGTTTCTTCAGTGGCAGATTGGCATGTGAATCCTTCAGTGTCATAATAAGAGCCCTCTTCCGGTATCATGAAAAGATTGTAGTAAATAAGGCCTTTAAAAACAGTTTGGGATGTTTTTGATTGATTTCTTCATTTAT